TCAGACAGATCAGTTTTTGGGAGTACATTTGGAAACAAACAAACACAAATGCATCTACTTACATGTCTATAAGAAGAACCTAACTTGATGAAGAACAGAAAGGAAGAGCGGAAAAAACATTTACTAGCTCAAGTACACTGAAGCTATTAAAAAAAGAAAAGCTCTACAAAGGGCAAAAGCAAGGGGTTAGAGACTAAATCTTGACATAGAAATTAAGACTATGAATTGCAACAAAAGCAGAACACTACATCATGGACAGCCCTGATGCTACTGTCATATAAAATAAAAATACACTGATATGTAGTGAAGCTACAGAACAAGAGACTAATCAGATGAAAAAGAAAATGATTGCTCTTGACTGTTTCAAACTCAATTGCTTCAATAAATTTAGTCTTTTGCAATAGCCTTGACTCACATCAACACTTTCACCCACCCAATAATATTTGTTTCAGAACCTTTTAAGTTGTATTGCAAAAAAAAGGGAACACTGCTTTAAATGTCTATTTTAATTGTGCATCTGTAAAAGTAGAACTCACAAGATTGAGAACACGATCGCAAAAGGCATTAAAACATAATATGCAAGATAACGTTTGCAGTTCTGGCTCAACATCCCCCTCTCAACTTCTAATGGTTTTTCAAACACTATTCTTAACACATTACGAGTATCACAGCTTTAACAAGTAACGCTTTAAGATTATTTAAGATCTACTATCACTGAGCAATTCTTTTAAGTCACCCCAAAATTACAACGAGAACCTAATTTTATGGTACACGAAATCTATCACTTCATACAAAAAAATAAATGTATATGATCAAAAAGATAGTTGACCATTATTACTTAAACAGTTGACCCCCATCCCATAGCTTATTCGCCTGGAGAGTCCGCACCAATCAAATTATGTTAGGCATACAAGGAAGTGGGGTAGCAACAATTTCATTATCTGTTAAAGCGGAGTGGCTTCCCACGGAGGGCAAAAATTCAGCTTGGGTTTTTGTGCGCCTTGAACACCAGTGCTACTAACTCTGATCTAGCTCTTAAGCTTCCTACACGCAGCTCTACACTGGGCGCGCAACGATTTAAATTCGGGAACTGCAACTTTCCGCCTTTTCCAGCCGTCAGAGCTGGCCCGCAGCAGCGTTCCTGTGCCAAAGTGCCGAAGCCCCGCGGGCACCTGGGGCCGCCTCCCGCGCTGAGCAACGCCCGGGGCGGGCACCCTCGGCGGTACCAGCGGGCACACCGAGACCTACAGCCGGGCGCATGCCTCGGCACAGCCACGGCCACCCCTGTCCCGCGGCGGCCCCGGCGCAGCGCCGCGAACGCCCCGGGCCCGAGTCCCGCAGAGACCGACCAGGGTCCTCGCCGGGGCGGCCCCCAACGCGCGCCCAGGGGAGCCGCCGCACTCACCTGCACCGCACCACCACCTGGATGTTCTTGCCCTTCTCCTCCTTCTTGGCGGTGCCGCCGCCCTGGGAGCCGAAGGAAGCCATGCCGATGCCGGGACTGGGAGCGGAGGCGCTGCCAGGACAGGATGAGCCGCGCGCGCCACCGCCGCTTTGAACCGCGCAGCGCCCGGCCCGGCCAATCAGCGGCGGCCGCGGGGCACCACGGGATGGCATTTCAAACGCGGGCCCCGCCCCCTGAGGGCGGAGATGTCGCAGCGGGGCCCGCAGCGCTCGGCGCCCTGCCCAGCTCGCACCTCCTCCTCCGAGATACCGCCAGGGGCCGGCACGGCCGCGTCCCGCCTCCGCTAAAGCTGCCGCTGACAGCCCCAGGTGTGAGGGCAGCCCAGCTCCTCGCCGCGCACATCAGTCTTCAACAGTCACATCAGCCACGTAGCCCTCCCTGGCAGGTCAAGCCCTCCATTCTTCTGTCCCCGCTGGCTCTCCTGTTAGTCCACTATTTCTTCAAACATCACGACGAAATTGGAGGAGCGTGCCTAGAAAATGGCCTGTGGAGTGGAAGCATTACTTTATCTGCTTAAAAAAATTAATCCCATCTCTAATTTACGCGGTGGAGCACAGCGTCCCCTGTTCCCAGCAGGGCACCTGGTGTGCCTGCGGTCGGTGGTGCCCCAGCCCAGGTTGCCACGTGCCTGCAGCAGAACCGCAGCCAGGCAGACCCCATGCCCAGCCGGGCCATGCCTGCAGAGCTCCACTCGGATCCTCTGTCCCTTGGGCACAATTCAACTCAGGCTGGTCTCCAGCACAACTCATCAGCATCACTGAATTCTATACCTAACTTGCCATATGTTTACAGGTGGGTGTTGCCTGATCAATTCGTGGGAAAGTCTTATATCACAATGAAAGTAATTAAAGGCCCAGGACAAAGCACCACAGGTGCATTACATCCATCCTTTTGCTTCGAAACTAGATCATGTGAGCCACTCACACAGGTGGAGATCTATGACAGGATAACAGGTCTTCTGGGTAGAGGGGAAGAAGCAGATGTTATAGAAGATTCAACTGATCTGACACACTTTTTTCCAACAAAGCTGTACAAGCTCCTACAGACTGTCACACTGTCATCTACCTGTTATGGCCTGTGGTGCTACAGTGTTTTGCTGTTCTCCTAGGGCCTTCCCAGTTCCTGAAATTCAGATTACCCATTTATAATTTTGCAAGTGTCCACACTTTTTTTTCCCCTAAGTTAGCTGCTTTGAAATTTACATCTCCCTCCTCCATGAATTGTTAAAATTAATAACAAACAAATCCTAACCTTTAAGGCTTGCAGTAATTTTTCTGACAGTGACATGAAGCAGCATTACATTACGCTCCTCTACCATTAATCTGAAGAGTTAGAACAATGTCAGAGCCAATCAATCTTATATTAGACACAAAGAACAAGATCGGAGAAATACATTACTTTCACAGAAAAGGACATGAAGCACTGGATTCCTATTTGCTGCGAGCAGAAATTGATCAGAAAGCATTAACATTCAAGAAATTTGGTCTGCCATTGTAAGTGTAGGTTGATGATGCAACAGGACAAGAGCTATGAAAACCTCATAAGGATTAATAACAATTTTAATTTCAAGCCTTTCTGAGACAGTATTTTGTTTGCCCCATACAAGATTTTACTGCTTGCATGCCACTGAAAGCAATACAGCCTGAAAGTATGTATAGTATAGTGTCCCTGGTGGTGCAGTGGCTAAACCACAGCGTTGTCAACGCTGAGATCTGGGTTCGATTCCCGGTTAGGACACTCCCTGGGCAGATGGAGCTCGCTAGCCCTGTAAGGCAATCCATCTACGTCCTGAGGACCTCGCTGCCACCGTCCAAGCGTGCTTGGCCCCGGCAGATGAACCTCAGGATTAAAGGGTGGGCTCAGTTCCGCGCACACTGTGTCTCACCTAAAAAATTCAATGCGCAGGCTGGAAGGTGGAAAGACCTTCCCCGG